TTTTTTTTCGGGTGGAATTTTTTTTTTTTTTTTTTATTTTTTTTATTTTATTTTTTTGTGATTAGCTCGTTTGCTCAGCGAATGAATCGAATTTTCTAAGGAATTGAACATAGATTGTTTGTGAACAACGAACCGTTTTGGCCTTCCAAGTCTCAATTCAAGTTTAAAATTGTTTATGAAATTAGCCAGAACTGAGAGTTGAATCAGTAATTGGATATCATGTTTTGAAGTTTTAATTTAGGATCATATGCAAAATATATAAGAGATGATTTAAGCTAAAATATTATTTATTAAATTAATGAAATTATAATTACATTATTATTTAATTATTTCTGTTAAAATAGTAGAAAAAATTGCAATGCATATCACATTTTTAGATATGTACATGCAATTTCTTACTATTTAGAACTAAAAATATTTTAATGCCATAAATTTATGCATGAAAATGATTATTTTACTTATAAAAATTTAGTAAATTATATTTTTTTCATGTGATGCCAAGTGAAAATATAGGTGTTAGACATGTAAATAGATAAAATTCAGAGGTTAGATATGAAAATTTTAATATTTATAATACATTAAAATTAAACTCTTTTTGGATCAATGATGAGTTAAATTTTACCAACCAAGGTTATGAGAGAAAATTGGGGGGTGTTTTATGTCCCCATATGATTGAATTGCACTAAATTCATTTTTATCAACTAAGCCCTCAAGACTTCCAAAATTTGCATGAGGTAGGGGCAGTGTAACATTAGTCAAATTGTGATTCTTATGGATAAACACTAATACTTGTGTTTCGTCCATATTACGGTCGGTCTGTATCTCTAAAAATAATAAATTATTACGTGCCGACCGGATAACATATTTGTTATTAAAACTAAGGATAAAATGGGTAATACACATGTAAGGGAAAACCTAAATGTTCCTTTGTAGAAACCTAATCGCAAAGGGAGGTTGCGATCTAGAATAAGAAGGCAGGCAAGAGCGATGGAGAGAAGCTAACGAGCATAAAGGTTTTTGTCGAGAGTTGTTCCAGACCACGACGCGGGTAATGAGTTCCAAATCCTAATTTTTGCCCAAATGATTGCAGAAAGGACTTTGTAAATCTAGAAGTCACGGAATACAACCTCGTAACTCAAAAACTAACATTTTAGAGATTTCAAACCGGGGCTTTTGGTGTTGGTAGATGTCCCGAACCCCCACAGGGGTAATTCAATTCGAACCCAAAATTTCCCAAAATGTGCCTAGGAGATGTTGGCGAACACCCTTGGCCTTAGAAAGCTCCGGACATATGAAGTTGTGTCTCGTTACATTAGAATGGATGTAGAACTCGTCCGTAGTCAGGGCAAATACCACCTCCAGGTGAATTTTTTTGGGTGGGACCAAGTCAATACTAGTCCTAATTTCATGCTCAAGGCACGTACTAGGAAGTTTGATAGGATACCTTGGACGGGAGGAAGCTAAGTATACTCTTGTATCACGTAAACAGACAACCTGCCTATGAGACATCAAAATTGATGCCAACATCTATATGCAAAATACATATAAAAAGGAAGATTTACATACAACCCACTCAATTCTATGTAAATGCCCCAACCAAAAGTAAAATAAAATAAAACACATCACATCATTTTTCTATTACAATGAAGGAATTTTATTGCACTAAAAAAGAGCACTTCTAAAGAAGCAAGCATAAAATTTAAAAAAAATTTAGCACATCACATAAATTTTTAATTGCATGGAATGCAATTTATTACACTCAAAAGGAGAATCCCTCAATGAAAAAATTATGAAAAAATTAACACTAAAACCCAAAAAAAATCAAAAGGAAAATTTATGTCCCATTTTAATTATAAATAGAATGCCACTAAGGTATGAATTGAGAAAACTCACACTATTGGCCACTCTAACCACAAAAAAGATGGTAACAGAAGGCCAATCCCCTTCACTACTTTTTCATTTACAAGTATGGAACCCACCAGGCAATATATTATCTAAACTAAAAAAATAATCTCTTCTTTTTATAATTTTTTCCCAACTAAAAAATCTATAAATTGGGAGTTTACTATAGCATAGTTAAAGATCAAACACAAGATTTTAAGTCAGGAGTGTATTTGGCTATGAGAAAGGTATGATATGATATGATTTAATGGCCATTGAATGTATATGATGACATGGTTTTCAACCATGCCCACCATGTCCATATGGGTGATATTGCCCATAGCCTCCTCTGGCATTCATGGGATTGTAAGCACCACGACAGGCAGGACCCTGCCGAGGCA